TATTTTTTGAGAGTATTAAAATTAAGTGTTAAACATAAAGAGTCTGTTAAAGTACTTAATAATGTGTACTCTCTAAACTCTTGGATTTTCTTTAAATTGTAGAATATACTCTTTAAAAATAAAGACTCTTTAAACTAACATTTTAATTTAAAAATTTGGTTTGACTCTTCAAATTTGAATAGCAAAACCAGTCTCTATAATTAAATATATTCAAAGTAATTCAATTTCATTGAAAAAAATAATATAATAATTTGGAGGGAGACTAGTGAACATAAAAGATATGAAAACTAATAAATATTTTTAGGAAATAATAAAATTAAGAGCTTGTTTGAACTCAATTTTTTCTTAAGAATACATTTTAAAATAGCAAATTGATAAAGAATGTGTGATTAAAACGAATAGAAAGAAATGTATTTTAAAAACAACGAGGATCAAACAAGGGCTAAATGTTAAATATAAAGAGTTTGCCGGAGTATTTAAAAAATTTTCCTCTCTAACTTTATAAATACTTTCTAAATTTGAATATGTTTTTTTTTTAATGGAGATTCTCTTGAAGATGCTCTAAGGAGATAGAAATGAGTTAATTTTACGGGTAAATAAAAGATATTGTCCAAAAAGGATATTCCCATTTGGAACAAAATCAACATTTGAAATAATATTTAGCCCCCGTTTGGAACTCATTATTTCAAATTATAATTTTTGGAATAATATTTTTTTGAAAAATGTATAATTGAAAAAGAAAGAAAATTTTTTAGTTTACGTGTATTATTAATTTATGAAAGATTGTATGATTAAAAATAAGAAAGAGAAAAATAATTTTTGGGATAATGGGGGCCAAACGGGACTCAATATTTTGATGCACACACTATCGAGGATAAGGTAGAAGATCAAACATACATAAAAATGTGTCTAGTCACATAAGAAATAAAAGGTGAAAGTATTTTGGATTGACATTTCTCAAGAATGTTACAAAAACTATATCTCATTCATTGCAAGGCTAAAAGCATGTTAGAGACGATTTATCTTAAAGATAAGTTCCAGATGTGTGACTTATTTTTAATGTATCACATTTGTTGTTTATTTTCAGATAAGTCACTTCAAATATGTTTTAACACCTTGTCGAATCCT